CCGACTGGTTTCAGCAAGAGTTTGATCTATCAATCCGCTTCTTTTTGTCGTTGCTCTGTTAGTACGTCATATGCTTCGTTGATCTGATTGGTTTATTTGGCCCGTCTATCACCAACATAGGCCAATCAGCTAACCATTATTTTCGCCCCTTCCCAAAATTACTTCAACGGAAGGTTTCCAGATGGATATGCGGAGCAAATCCATCTGGCGGAGTCAGGTTACTCCATTAGGACTGAATAAAGCAATTAGCAATGAGCCTTTAACCCCTTTAAACCCACCGGATCGCCGGCGACCAGGTTGACCTTAAGTGGGGGGTAATAACTGAGAATACATAAAATTCCACCGGTAAAATTCTACCAGCAGGTGGAGCCATTGTGCGCAGCTCCAAGCTGACATTAGAAGTTCAAAGCCCACAGCTCTGGAACTGTTATAGCTAGAGGTCTGAAATTTTCCGAATTTGTGGTTGACGTGATGTAGAACACATATAATATAATAAAACACGCTTTATCTCAAGAATGTCTTTATTACTGCTGTTCAAAAAAGAACTATCATTTCCAAGAACAAAAAAAACAAAACAGCTTTGAGTAATGTTTGAACTGATCCAGCTTGGTCTGTGTTCTAGTCACCCAATTTTTTTTTTTTTTTTATAATTTATATATTCAGAAATTAGAAGGTGTTAATTTGGGCTTACAGTACCTAAGTTATTTGCTTTTTCATTTGGGTATGCAAAATAGGCGAGGATTACCCAAAATGAGGTGGATGTTTAGAGGGTTTATAAATCAAAACATAATTTGAAAACATTTTATTTCTTTTCCCAAGATTAAAAGAAAAACTAAAGCAAAAAGCAGAAAAAGTCCAAGTCGAATAAAACTGTCATCTTTTTAACTTTTTGTTAACTGTCTTCCTTAGTTGGAATAGAGATAGACGAAGATGTGAGCGACAGTGATGGTAAGTAAATAAAACTGAATATACTAAGAGTTTGATGTGTTTAATCAAAAGTGATTGATCTAAATGTAATTTGTAGATGGTGCAAACCGGAGGAGAGCAAACAGGAGACAGGCAGGTGGACGAGGAGGAGGAGGTGCAAGAGGAAGAGGTCGAGGCAAAAAGGCAGACAGCGAAGAGGAAGAAGATGAGGAGGAGGAGGCTCCAAAGAGACGAGCAAGAGGCGGAAACAAGAGGGGGGCTGCTAATAAACGAGGTGGCGGTAAAAACGACGACGATGACAGTGAAGATGAGGCTCCTAAGAAGAAGAGAGGAGGTGCAGCCAACAGGAGGAAAGGTGGCAAAGCCCAAGAAAGCGAGGAGGACGACAGTGAGGCTGAGAAAGGAAAGAGGGGGAAGAGAGGAGGAAAGAAAGGAGGGAAGGAGGAGGACAAGGGGAAGGGGAAGAAAGGCGACGCCAAAGGAAAGGACAAAGGGAAAGATGACGATAAGGACAAGAAGAAAAAGAAAAAGAAAGATGACAGGTAGGCCAAAGAACAGCTAAATAAATTTCTGTTTTCAATCCCTTTCTCACCTTCTGGCTCCTAGTGGAGGATTTAGACAAGTATTGATAACTTATTATAAAAATGTCTATTTTTCTGATTTATTCCCTCTTTTGCTAAATGTTCTCCTCCAGCTCATCGGATTCAAGCTCAAACTCAGACGAGGAGGAAGAGTCCATGTCAGAGGGGGAGATGGCCCGGCTGATGGAGGAGGTGGAGGAGAAGAAGAAACTGATCGCAAACATCAGAAATAAGCCTTGGAGGATGAAGCGAAGGCTGGTTCTCTTAAGGTAATGCTTAAAAAGGGGAATATTATTGCTCGTTTCTGTCTGGAGATCAACTATAGAACATTTTATTGAGGCTAAAAGCAGTTTCAATATTCACTTTTTAACATTTTCTATCAGAAATCTTGTCATGCTACATTTTTGCTCATTTTACGACTATTAATTCCATGATGTACGTGATAGATTATTGATACAATGAATGAGTCCTAGAATTTCCAAGCACTTTGCAGTAAAACGCTACTGTAATAATGTGAACATCGTGATAAATTAAAACCTTAAATAAGTTGCATCCAAGTAAAAACAAACATAAAGTAAATTAAATTTGTTGTTTCTGCAAAAAAGTCTTAGCATGACTTAATGTAGACGTCGTAAAAATATTAAGTTAAATTAAGAAAAGCAAGCATTTTGTAAAATAATTTATATAAAAACTTGAAGAACTATATTATTTGGGGGTCTAAGATGAATTAAATAGGTTTATTAAACAATAAATTAATTTTTAATCTTTAAAGAGAGACACAACACTAAAAATTCTATATTATCAGTTTGCGAAAAACGTATTATTGCTACAATAGTGTTTTGTTGTTCATAATAATTTCTTTTCCATGTGCATCTCTTCAAACAACACATTTTTCCAAATGTAAAATTAGCTTTATTGCTTTTTTCAACTTTCAGTTTCACTTTTTTCTTATCTCATATTTATGACTCTCCAAAATAAAAATTAGAGTGATGTAAGTAATTTGTTTTTAAAAACAAATTTACCAGGAAATGCTTTATGAAAACAGGCAAGAACAACAATTTCACCCTATTTCTTAACCTTGCAAATCTACATAAACAAGTGCATCGTCTGCATATCGTCTGAGTTTGTTTAGCATTTTTATGCTGCTCTGCAGGGAAGCTCAACAATTTGTGGATAAGTTTGAAGGAGCTCTGGGCAAAGGAAAAGGCAGGAAGTGGTATGCCTACAAAGTGATGATGACCAAGGTTTGGATTCAAATAAAAAAAATCAAAAACAGAAAAAAAGTTTTTTCTTACTTGATGGTTTTGCTTTCAGGCTATACATATGCTTATTGTTTTTATTGTAGAAATGGATTAAGTTTCAGAGAGATTTTGAGAATTTCAGAACAGCCTGCATCCCCTGGGAGAGAAAGATCAAAGAGGTTGAAAGTAGGTTTGCTTTAAAATGTTTTAAACGCGTATAAATCACAAACCTTTTTTTTGTGGATACTATATTTAAAAATGAGACTTGCATCTTTAGGTCACTTTGGATCATCGGTTGCTTCTTACTTCATCTTCCTCCGCTGGATGTACGGCATGAATCTGGTCCTTTTTGGTCTCACCTTTGGTTTGGTGGTCATTCCTGAGGTGAATAAATGTGGTTAAATTGACCACGCTATTTCTTAATTAGTATTAATAAAGAAACAGTTTAAAATGAACTCCAAAGATGTCCATAAAATAACTAACAATATGTAACTTTTAAGGTCCTCATGGGTCTCCCCTATGGGTCTATTCCAAGAAAGACTGTACCAAGAGCAGAGCAGGACACTGCTCAGGATTATTCAGTTCTCATGGACTTTAATGTGAGTATCTAATCCAGCGCAGACAAAAAGTCTTAAAAATTTCTCCTTTTTGTTACTTTTCTGAGCAGAACTTCATGTAAACCTAAAGTTGGCTTTATCAATAGTCCTTCAGGTGAGCAAAAGGGGTTTCTCTTTGGACTTTGGCTGTTTTTCTGTTTTCAATTTTTATAACAAACATTTAGTCTCATATGTGAGCTTTGTCAAAGGACTTTTTTGTTAATTAATTAAACGTTGACATATAAAATTTATTTCTCTAACTAGCTTCCAGATCAAAAAGAACTTCAACAATAAAACAACAAAAATATCTGAGCTCTATTTTTCTGAAGAAATCCTTTTAGATGCTGTTATAAACTGCTGTTGACAGGTTTACACACTGCAAAAACCATCTAGAATTAAGTTTAAAAAAATCTTAAATTGAGTGTATTTGCCCTTAATTTAAGTAGATAAATAAGATGATTTGCCAATGGAATTAGTATTTTTACTCCTAAAACAAGATAATTAGATAATATGCACTTGAAATAAGACAAAGCAAATGTAAATTGTCTTGTTGGGAAAGTATTTCAATTAAATCCCCAATTCAAGGAAAAATGCGCTTAATCTAAGCAAAAATTACTCATTTCGATTTCCTTTTTTTGCAGTGCATGATGTAAACATTTTACCTCCATCCTTTATTTAAACAAGCTCAGTGATCAGATGATGGGTAGTAGAAAAAAACTAAAGTCCAAAGAAAAATTCTGAAAGCTCTTCTTACAGCTTTTCGACAGAAAAGACGGCTTTGAAGGATTCAAATAAAGTGTCAAATCTACTATGGCGAAGGTGATCAAAAAATCCTTTTTGCTTTTCAGGGATATTGTAAATACTCTGTCTTGTTCTACGGATATTACAACGACCAGAGAACCATCGGCTTGCTAAAGTTCCGGCTGCCTCTCTCCTATCTATTGGTGGGGATCGGAAGCTTCGGGTACAGCCTGATGCTCGTGATTCGAACGTGAGAACATCCAGCTCAGGAAGGCTTTCAGCATCGCCTCACAGTATCACACATACTGCCAATTATTAGAGAGGATACCAGTATGAAGGTTTCTTCTTGGTTTGTTATTCAGAATGGCGAAGAACGCTGATGTTGGCGGAGGAGATGGAGAGGAGGGTGAGTTCACCTTCGCCTGGAAGATGTTCACCAGCTGGGATTACCTCATCGGCAATGCAGAAACCGCTGACAACAAATACGCCTCCATCACCACTAGCTTTAAGGTAGCCGCAGCAGACGATCACACCCGCTGACGTCTTTTATCTTTTCAGACACTGAGTTTACCGTACGCTCAACAATCCGCTTTTTTTTTGATAAGAACAGGAGTCCATTGTGGACGAGCAAGAAAACCAGAAGGACGAGAACATCCACCTGCGCAGGTTTCTCAGGGTTCTGGCCAACTTCCTTATCACCTGCAGCCTTGGTGGGAGTGGGTACCTCATCTACTTTGTGGTGAAAAGATCTCAGGAATTCGCCAACAGGGATGACCTTAGCTGGTATGAGAAGAATGAGGTACTGATGTGCAGATGCTTCCGGACAGAAATCTGTGTTAAGGGTTCCACACACAGGAGGCGACGCTTTCATTTTCTATGGAACATGTCTGAACTTGTGCGATGATGAGGCAAAAAACTCTCATTTTGCCAAGCAACCTCTATCATTGCTGCATGTGACATTTTAAGCATTGACTGAACGAGAGGAGAGGAAAGCATGCTACCCTCTGCAGATTGAAAACTTTTAACATTGAGGAAGACGTTTTTTTTTTTTTTTTTTTTTACCAGATCATCCCCTGGTTGAAGACCAGTCCAAGAACATTGCCACTGATGTCAAACTCTCCGTACGATGGCTAAAAAGGGATCAGACACAGCAGTTACCTCAGTGTTAGGGTGATGAACTCATCAATAGTTGTCCT